TATCCTGATCGTATTTTCTGACCTTTTCCATTTTCCAAACACACCTTGCTTCAAGGTAAATTTTAAATCCATCTTACACCGTACCTAATTTTCTTCGTTAATTTTATGTCTGCTTGTTCAACGGTATTGAGATAAACTGCAAGCGACTAGCTGAATAGAGCCAAATAGAGATTTCCAGGAATTCGAATAAGAACGAAATTCACCTATTCGTTAAATAGATGAGCTTTCTCCACTATTTGCTCAGACGTTCGAAAAAGGACAACTTCCAAAAGATTGGAATATATGTATATATATATATATATATATATATATATATATATGTGTGTGTGTGTGTGTGTATGTATATATACATACTAGCTGACCCGGCAAACGTTGTTTTTCTAAATAATTTCTATAGAGTCAAAAAAATTAATACTTTAAGTGTATAAGAATGTATTGTATGAGTGATATAGACATCAAGGTAATATAAAAACAATAAAACTCTAAAGTCTACTTATTCAATATAATATATAATTTATAATAACAATATTCGGTTGTTCATATATTGTTAATACAATCAAACTTAATGTTTTATACACTTTCTATGAAAAACATGGTATAATCCAATCCAAGCCTTTTTGGTCTTTCGACTTATAGAACATTTACATTAAAAATTCCAATTTTTTTAATACTTTATTTTTTATTACGTTTCAAGTTTTTCACATATTTCATAAATTCTGGATTTTGTGTATAATTGTAAGTAATACACTGAGCTTATACAAAATTTTCAAATTTCTTCGAGGAGAGGTAGTAAATGAATCAAGTAACATTCCATGAATCAAAGTAAATTTAATAAAATTAGTGTGGGGCACAAAGGTCCAATTTGACCTTGAGCAAATATAAATTATATTGTGAAAACCAAACCAATTATAACAAATAACGCATATCAAAGGAAAATCAACTGACTATGTTCAGTAAAACTCCCAGCTAATTTATCATTCAGAAATGTACTTTATGCTGTTTCTCTAAAAATGTGTCACATGGTCCTTTTTACTCCAAAGACGGGGTGCAGTGGGACAGCAAGGGGGCAAACAGAACCAATGTTTCATTTTTTAATTTTAATTTTAAAGGGATTTTATGAAATAATAGCCACATTATTCAACCAATCCAAAATATAAATTTTATGGGTACAATTTTTATATTATTACATAGGTACAATTAACACTGTATATAACCTCGATCTGGTATTTCGTCAGAAATATTCTTCAGCAGAGTTGAAAAGCTATTTATGTATTTTATCTTTTACAAAAATGCTATTATTACCTTAATTTACTTTTTTATTTAATTTTTTTTTGTTTACACCTGTGCCAGGGTAGAGGTTTATTTAGTTGGTACTTTTTGCCCCACATGTAAGTTTTAATAGAGGTTATGTAAAATCATATGTTGAATTTTACTTAAAGTTAACAAACCATCTTGTAAAACAATTAAATAACATATACTTAAAAATGCTATTAGGGATTCGGAAACTAAACAATAGTGCTCACAACCAAAAAAACTAATAACGAAAGAAAGTACTTTTGTTCTATACTTTCAAATAATGCGGTTTTCTCCTAATAGCGTCATCGTAAGAATCAAGTTGATGGCTGGTTATACATCTTTTGTCCTCTACTTTCAAATATCTTTGTTAAAAAATTCCTAACATTACTTGTTTTTGAGATAATAGCGGTGGGCCTTTCTACCTGCGGACCTTTAAACCCCCATCTACCCTATCTAGTTATTTAACTAGTACGTTTATAGATATATTTAATTACTATTAAAATACATGAGACAAAAGGGAAAAAACTTAGTAGCATAATTTATTTCAATTTTGCAATTTTTTTTACGTAAGTTTAAATCACACTTTTATATTGAATTAATTGCTTACTTATTACTTATTGAATTAATTGCTTTAATGCATATCTGACATTGGTTTATAAATTATTATTATTTTAATATATAAAATATTTTTTAAATAAGAATCGTGTAGACGTAGCAGATAAAATTAGAATTACAATTATACAAATTATTCTATTTCGTGCTGTATTACACTCTCTTATAAATATTAAGTTAACATTTTAATTAAGAAAAAAGCATAAAAGGAAATTAATCAATTAAAAATAATATAAAATACATACTGTTTGAGAAATGTAAATAAAATAAAACAAATGTTAGTATAAATAAATAGCAATTAATAAAAAAATAATAATTGTTAGTATAAATAAATAGCAATTAATAAAAAAATAATAATTGTTCAAAAATTACAATTATAATGAAATTAGCTATTTCACAACTAGTTTGAGACTTACAGACTTTAAAATTACATATTCAAATATTTTATTTTTGGAAAGTTATTAATATCATTTTAGCAACTAGACGTTTTGTTCGAATTTACTTGCAGAACCTTGAAATTTATAATTAGTAGTCACTTACATATTAAATATAATTTATAGTTTCATTAATAATTTCATTCCAAAATTGTAATTTTAAATTCAAACATAATTCTATTTTTACTAAATGTAAATGAAATTTAATCTAAATGGTAGATGAAAGCAATTTATAGGAAGATTATAGACAAAGACCATTCCCTTGCTATAACTTTTGGAATTTATGTTACTGGCACTATTATATGGTAGTGCAAACTAAGAGATTTTAGATATGCAGTAATATTGCTAGTGTTAAATTATACTCCAGTACTCCACTTACTCCACTTGGTCCATACTCCTTTCATTAGCACTTAGCCGTTATCATACGTTTGACCAATGGATAATGCAGAATCATATACCTAATATTATATTATATTATATATTGCCAAAGCTGTGCAAATTTACCTTATGCCTATGAACGTGATAGGTTTATAAAATTAATTTGTTTTACATCTTAAGATATTTTTAGTTCATATGCTTATCTGGATTGAACCTATTTATTTTAAAGTTTTCACTACAATAATAGTAAGAACACTATACTGGGTAGTCTGATATATCTTTTGGTTTTTTATAATAAAACAAGAAATTACTAGATATCATATTTCTAGACAATTATAATTATTAAAATAAAATTTTAAAAATATTTTAAGATATTTAGCCGTACCTTTGAAATAATAATAATGCTTGGAATCTCTCCTTTAACTAAAATTAAAAAAAAAGAAATTAAAAGAAAATGAATTTGATTTTTAATGATCGCGTATTATACAATTGTAAGCCTAGCATTCCTTTTAAAACATTTTTAGAGAATTTGTGACATTTCCAGATAATGTACGACATTTTGAGATCATTTACTTCATTTCCAGACAATCTATAATATTTTCAAATACCTTATAATATTTTCAGATAATTCATAAAATAATTTATAATATAATTTACAACTTGTTCAGACAATCTACAATATTATCAGATAACTTACCACATTTTGAGATAATTTCCAGCAATCTGCAGCATTTTCAGGCTAGTTACAACCTTTTCAGATAATTCTTACTATATTCAAAATTAATTTTTGTAGCTTAAAAGACATCGAATAATGCAATAGAAGAAGTGTAGGGCACAAAGGTCCAATTTGACATTGAGCAATTATATTGTAAAATCCAAACCTACATCACAACAATTAACACATATGAAACAAACAACTACTGAACTCTGTTCATTATTTCTAGCTAATTCATCGGTGTAAAAATGTGTATTTTCTGTTTTTTTTTTTAAATTTGTCACCTGGTTTTTCTTGCCCCATAAGCGGGGTCAATAGGGATAACAAGCAGGAAAACAGTTCGAAATTGTATTATTAATTTTATAGAGCATTTTATAAAATAATAGGTACATTATTCAATTAATGCGATACAGTTCAATTATAAGATTGAACAACAAAATTAAAAATTATAATATAATATATATTCTTAAACATAGAAAACAAAAATCATTATCGACTCTTTCTAGTATCTAAATTATGATAAATATACTTCTTTTTTTCTAAATGATAAAGATAAATAACCTTCTGATTAAAACTGAACAAAAAAAATATTTTGGTTATATTTTAATTTGATAAAAACAATCATAACATATATTAGGTATGTCTCAAGTGTTTTAATTGTTGAAGAGGAAATCAGAAAAATTGACCAAAATTATGAACAAAAAATATTATTTTATCCAAATAAATTAGCTACATGATTATGACCTTGCCTTTATGACTCAAACGATCAAAAATTATAGAATTAACCAATAGATTTAAGTGCACTTATATTGTATTAATTAATTTAACTATTCCATTTTTGTTCATTTTGTAACTTTCGTTTGTTTGGTTTTATAATTTTGTATTGTAATGCTCATAATATATCATAATATTTTGTATATATCTTTACGTTTCAAAGGTTTCTGAATATTTTGGCACACCTTAGACAAAATGGATGTGTGCGTAAATGTGTGTGTGCGGATACAAATTTCCGTCGATGATTTCGGGAACACCGATCAACCGATTTGAATAATTCAAAAAAACATGCGATTCGTATTGATAAAGAGATGTGCTGATTAGTTTTTGGCGAAGGCTGGTCTAGCCGTTCCAAATATACGGGACAAAAGGTGCCAAAAACGATAATTCAGTTTTTAAGAGAACGGAGCGTCCGATTTTAATAATTCAAAAACATTTTACTTGTATCGACAAGATGAAGAACTGATGAAATTTTTGGGAAGACAGGTCCAGCGGTTATGGACTCTCAATGAAAATAAGTTAAAAAATGTCATTTGGCGGTCAAAAATATTTACTGGACATATGCACATCAAATTATCAGATATTTTATAGAGATTTTAATAATGTGTACACATTTTGTGTAACTTTTTTGGGTTCCGTACCAAGATTTTTGATTACGGTACGAGAAGTTCCAGCAATTGGCCTTAAGGCGCGATGCCATGCACCCTACTAGTTGAAGCTTTAAATTTGTAATTTATATTAATTAACAAAATGTATTAGATATAAACAAATTGTTTTTTCTTCTCTTCCAGATCTGTGTCTGGGTCTAGTCCGAATAGAATCACTACGAGTACCAAGTTCTGTAAAATCAGGTAGTTCCCAGGGGGTGCTGCTCGACTGCGATTATGACCTCAGCGATCCCTACGGTCTAGTAGTCAAATGGTACTTTTCGCCAAGGGGAGGCACCGGATTACGACGTGTTTATCAGTGGATTGCCGGACAGAAGCCACTGGCTTTTGGAGTTTTCAAAAGTAAGTTATGATAAAGAAAATATTTTATTAACATTTCGTAGGGTAAGTTATAGTAATTGTCCAAAATTCGAAAATGAAAATTTTTGCATATATTTACGTTTCATGGGATTCTGAACATTTTGGCAAATCTTAGAAAAAATGGATGTGTCATTGTTTATAACTAATATATATTTAGAAAAAATTTACTATATATTTAGAAAAATAACAATATTACTATAGGCTAAAGTGAGAACTCAGTGAGTCTTGAAGTAAGATAGGATCCACTGAGCTATCTTACAATATGTTGCTTCAAATATATATATCTTTAATGATTTTAATAATATACAATGTAGAAGCTATTTTCTCCTCAGATTTGAGTTTTGTTGGGGGCGAAGGATATCCTTTAAAGATTCATTCGGGTGCATCTCTAATCTGTTGCGGTATTTTGATGACAGTTTTTTTGTAGGTTTCGTACACAATAAATATTTTTTAGATCGCCGTAGACAGTTTGGTTAATAACATACCAGGGAGAGTTGAGTATGGTCCTTAAGATTTTAGTTTTGTATTTTGTGCATAATTTCCAGATTCGAGGTGGCGCATCCCCATAGCTCTAGCCATATTGGGTCCATATTGATTTAATGATAGCTTTGAATAACAGTAGTTTATTTTCTCCTTAGTTTTCAGTAGAATGTTTTCCTTTTCCTTTTTTATGTGTACTTTCTACGTGAGTTTTGTATCTAGATGGAGTCCCAGATATTTCACTTTGTGTACTTGTGGAATGTGTATGTATGTGTGAATACAATTTTCCGTACAAAATAAATATTATGATTCAAAACACATTCGGTTCCCATTGGTAGGGAAATGTGTCAATTAGTTTTTGGCAAAGACAGGTCCAGCCGTTCAAAGAAACAGAGCAATAAATGCAAAAAAATGAAAACTTGGTTTTTGATTCAAAAGATTAGATGATTCAAAAAATATTCTGTTTGTATTGACGGGGAGACGTCCCGATTAGTTTATTGCAAAGGCAGTTTCAGCGGTTTCGGGAGTACAAAATAAAAAAATTGATTTTGTTTAATTTTTTATATAAATTACTAATTTATCAGATCAATGTTATGGCAAGGCTATGTTACATTCAAGTTTGCAAACCAATAGCTATCAAATACTGTCAAAATGCAATATATATGCTGTGCGATCGAGCATTTTACAAATATTATAAAACTAAATTATATAAAATGCGACCTTGCTCATATGTTACCAAGCCATATCTCAAAGATTCAATTATGATAAGATTGTTTTTGTGCATTTTCTTGGTTAGGTTTTCTATCAAAAATGCCTGACTGCACAGTAACCGTATTGGATTTTGTCATTTTCTAGTACCACTTTATATGAAAACTACTACCTAACTAATATAACCTTGCCATAACATTGCTCTATTTTACGACAGAATCGGTCTAAGTTGAATATAAAATATGAATTCTTTCGAATCTTATTGCTCAGTCTTCGTACCTATACACTTCTATATCTTGTACAAGTCGTAAATCATTATAATTTTTTTGCAATAAGTGTTATTTTTATTTTCAGATGCCGTAAATTTATCCTATAAGGCATCAGACAATCCGAATTTTCAACACAGAGCATTGAATTTGATCAGACCAACTTGGAACATGTCTGGAACCTACCAATGTGTGGTAGAAACCTACAATGATGGTACTGCCAAGGAATCTTCAGATATGCTGGTCTATTGTAAGTATGTTTTTAATACTTTTTTCATTTTCTATATTTGTTACAACTGCTAAATAATTAACATCTAGTAACAGTAACGAACAATTATATAATTATTATTACAAATTATTATTATTTATACAAATGAATAACTTTTTTCTCATAATATACATTAATTTATAAATTTTTGTGAAAACTGTCCGATTTTATGCCAAAACAACCATTATGATGAATGCTTTCTTATTCAGAGGGGTAAATTTGATTTTTCATCTAAAATACAATGGTATCGTAACATTAAATAATGCTTAATATAATACATTAAATTTGTTCATAATTTTCTTCACTTTTTATATTATATTTTATAATATACAACATCACTACATTTCACAAGAAGCTGTGTTTTCACTGAAAGTTTTTGCTTAAGTTCAAGTGAAAGTTGTTGGAGAAAGCTTGATGAATAATACGCCTGATTGTTACGCTTTTGATTCTGATTTCGCTATTTATTTAGTCATTTCTAATTGTAAAAAATAATTAAAGGGAATTAAAGTACGAAAATTATAAGTAATTAAAAAATACCAATTACCCACTTTATTTTTCCTTATAATGAATTAGTTTATCATTTTTAAGAAATTGTTTATTTTAAATTTAAATTAATGTGGTGTGTATTGGTACTATAAAATATTACTATAATTACTATAAAATAGTAAACTTAAGAGTGTAATTAATCTATTATGTTATTTTTTTACAGCACCCGAGAAAAATTTTCAACTAATCCACGAAAAAAATCACATTGATTCATTTCGACTCATATGCTCCGCAGAAAATTTGTTTCCTACACCTGTTATGAGCTTTCGAGTTGGCAACAAGTAAGAGTTTAATTTAGTAATTTTAACATATCTATAAAATTATGTTGTTTTTGCATCTTAAGTTTTAAACTTTCCTTAGGGTATGTTAGGGGGCGTTCATTAATCACGTGAGGTTTTTAGTGGGAGGGGGGTTTGACAAAAAATTACGAAATATCACGTGGGGGAGGGAAGAGTAGGTTAAGATATCACGTGTATTTATTTTTTAAATATTTTTTAAAAAAAATTCAAACATTTTCAAAAAAAAGTTTTAGTTTTTTCACGCAACTAAAAATACACGTGATGTTTGGTGGGGGAGGGGGGGATAATCTTGAATATCACCACGTATTAGCAAGGGGAAGGGGGGTCCAACAATTTTTAAAAACTCGTTCACGTGATTAATGGACGCTCCCTTATACGAGTATTATTCGTAGTATTCGTACAAATATCAAAAATAAAAAATATTGCATATCTTCTCGTTTTGAACCTAATTTTGGTACATCATACCATTTTGGCAGAATAAATTAATTATATGTGTTTGTGTATTTTTCTCGAGGCGATTTTATATACATCTAGTGGTGCATTTGTGATTAATATACAATTGCATAAATTAAATTTCTTTTTATATTTATCTTTCTAGAGTACTAATTGCAACTGAAAACAACGTTTCCCAAAGCAGAAGTTCCCTATACGACATCCGCGTAGGAACGGAATTGGGCTTTGACGATCTGTCGGAAGAGCCCTCGGAAGTAACTTGCGAACTATCTCTGCCCGAGGCCAATTACACAGTCAGGCAAGAAGCACTAATCTACAAAAGTGAGTTTTTATATAATTTATACCATTTTTCATACATAATAGATCGAACTTTAGAAAAAAAGCATCCCTAAAGTAGGTAAATTTTTGTTATATAAACTTCGATGTTCTAGTCTTCGAAGGTGTATCTTGTTATGGTATCATTCTTGCATGAGAAATGCGCTTTTTTTATTATTTTTATTATTATAATTGTTGTTTTTTAATACTCCGTAATTGATTACTATCACAAGTATTAGAAATTAATTTAATTTATTAAATTTATAAATTTAATTAAGTTCTAATACTTGTAATAGCGATCAATTATGACTATAAATAAAGCATATGTAGGGGAGCCAGGGGCTATATGTTACTGAGGTAACTTTTTTTCTTTATTATTATTATTATTATCTCCTTTATTTACAACTGTCCAGTAAAGGACATTCAATAAATTTGATGAATTTACAATAGTCGGCCGAAAAGGGACATTGTATGTTGGAAAAAACAACTCAGTAGTTGTTTTTCCATTCGATATAAACTTTACAATATTTTATTGATAATTATATAATTTTAACTATTTACTTATTAAATAATTTCTTATAAATAAAGATTAAGTTATTTGGGGTAACTTGTAACCGGCGTTTTTCAAAAGGATCTAAAGAGATATTGAAATATTATTTTGCCTCTATTGGGCATGTTAACCCCCCTCTCCCCGCATCATATTATCGTTGCAACTGTCCCGAAAGTCAGTGTACAGAACTGTGCAGGTCCGTCACTTTTAACTTTTTTTTTAATGTAAAATTCAAATCTATCATGAAATTTCGGTATGAGTTATTGTTATCGACTAATTTTAAAGTTCATATATCTAATTTCGTACCAGATTTATCAGTTTTTGATAATGACTAACAATTTTTGTGATTGCTAAATTGTTTAAATAGTTATCTTGATTAAAATAAAAAAATCACATCTGGGGTTAGTTGCAACAACACATTGGAGTGTAACATACAAGAATTATACTCAGATTCAAACGAAGAGCAGGTAGAATTTATAGTAACACATTGGGTTGTGACACCGCACTTTTTCTTGAAAATGATTAATTGTGAAATAATGCACAACAATTATGGAACTATTTTTACATGATTTGGTTAAGAAATAGTTACAGCAACTATCCAGCTTTATTTCGCAAAATATAATCAATGAATCTCAAAAATTTACAAAAAACAACACTGTTACAACCAGCCTCTAGCTGCCATATATAAACTGTTATAATTATACTAGCTTTTCAGCAAAAGTCAAATGCTTGTGATGTTGTGATGTTTTTTTTTGCAAATCTAATTAAGTTATCATACCCATCATAATAATAATAAATAGTAGTATACGCGAAGGCAAGTCCTTGGTATGAGAGCACCACATGTAAATGATTTCTTTTTCCTCCGAATCATATTAATATTTTTTGCTAGTAGGTAGCTTGTTCTAATTTCGCGGTTTCCAAATTTTTATATAGCAATAAAAATAATTAGTAATAATAATAATTTAGTTTCTATTTATATTTATTTATTTATTCATTTTCTCATAAACAAGTCTTGTTAATAAACATCATTTTAAGCTTTTGTCCTATACATACTATCAACATTTTTTGAAATAGCTTGTTTACTGAAAATTCTTAAATTTTTAAATTAAGAATCCTAAATCATTTTTTTTATTTAATAATACTAATAAATCAAAAACGTATTTAAGTATTTAAAGGATGTCAAGAAATTTTTTTTAGAATCTTTCATTATGAAAAAAAATAAAAATTACAGTCAGAATATATATATTTCTGATGCATGATAACAGTTTATCATTGTAAAGTCGAGAGGAGTATTAAAAAATATAACTTTTAAAAAGTCAAAAAATATCAGGATTTTATAAGGGCAATTGGCAAATTCAGTCTTTGTCTATCAATTGATTTTTTTAGATTCAATTATGAAATTTTATTATTTTATTAGTACATAAACATAAAAGTCATGAGAAAAACATTATACGTTTTTTCCGTAAATAAAATGAAACATTTTTAATAATACCGCTGTGAATAAAAATGCGCCTGGCTTGTGGTAAATAGCTAGTTTCTCTTAAGTATCAAGAAATCATGAATAATAATAAATATTATTATGCTAATCCCTTATGTATTTATTTTTATTTTGCTGCTATTATTATTATTGACTATTTATAAATCCCTGATTTGAAATATTGCTATCCTTACTTATAGAAAAATCATCTCTAACAACTTCTATCATTTTTCTGATATTCACTATGGATTGTGTAGATTTGACCACACTTGACCACATTTGAATTTGACCACATTTGAATTGTTTGTTGTACAATAAAAATATACATTTACATTTTTATTAAAAAAAATACATTAACATTATTTTATATTTCACATATAAAATATTTACTACCACTTGCCCTTTGTCCAAGTAGATCTTCCAAAGGTGGTGCCGAAATCTGCAGCATCGGCGGATTTAACAGCTCTTGACTCAACAAATTTTACAACAGGTAATTTTATAATTGTATTGTACGAAAAACAGATCAATAGAATATTTTGAAAGCGTTTTTTCCTAATTGAAATCCGTCTCGTGAAAAACCCAGGTCGCGACAAAATTTATTGATCAGGTACAAATAAGGTATCGATTCAAATGGTTTTTCCGGGGTTTTAATATTAAGACTATTGTCGGGGCAGGTACATTTTATTGTGAATTTATTATATATATTTTAACGATTTCAAAGAATTTATAACAATTGCCAAATATAGACTAATTACTAACATAACAATGGAATTTTGAAAATGTACAAAAGAAGTAGTACAATAGGTAAAATTTGGGTATTTTTTTAAATAAATTTTATTGTCGTACTTATATAAATATGAAACAATTTCAAATTTGCTTTTAAAAAAAATGAATATGTATGTATATAAAAAGAACGGACGTTTTCATTGTTAATATAGAAGAATAGTTAATCGTTTAACAATATAAAGAATTATATTTAACATAATAAAAAAAAAGCTAGAGATTAGTAAACATTTTTTTTCAATAGTACCTATACAAAATGAATATTACCCTCACAATTAGAACCTTATACGTATGCATTTTTAAAAATATAAGATATAGAGTAGAGCGGGGCACATAGGTCCAATTTGACTTTCAAGTTATTATTCTGTCCAAACTTTTTATGTGTATTATTTATTGATTTTATTTTTATTATTATTTGCTTTTATTTTATATTAAATCATCATACTACGGATATTATTTTATTGAAAATTCTATCCTTTGCACTCTTATTTATTTAAATTTATGTTATTATTTATCATTATTGCTAGATGTTGATTATTTAACAGTTGTAATAAATATTATAATTAAAAAAAAACTGACCAAACTAAATGAACTACTTGAAAACACATAGCATATATCAAACAAACAAATATCGAAATATGTTCAGTAAAAATTCCAATTTACCTAATTATAAAAATGTGTGTCATATTATTATTTATCTAAAATTTGTCATTTCTCATTTTTTACGGCATGGGGTAAGAAGGAACAGAGCTAGGGGGCAAAATGTTTCATTATCGTTTTTTAAAGTTTAAAGGGATTTTACGAAACAATAGCTATATTATGAAACCAATGTAAAATACAAAATTTTATAGGAACATTTTTTACAAAGATTTTAATGTATATAACCTTGATCTGGTATTACAAAAGTAATATTCAGAGGTCAATTAACTATCAGTTTTATTTATCTCTTGTAAAATAGCTTTATTACTTAAGATACTTCATTACCTACTATTCTTTAGTTGTAAGTTTAGTCGGTCCTTTTTACCCCCACACACATAACCTCCATAACTCTTATAGAGGTTATATAAAAAATGTTGAATCTAACTTAAAAACAACAATACATCTTACAGAATAAATAAATATCGTATACCTAAAAATTAAAATCAGGTATCATAAACTAAATACAAGAGCTTAAGACGAGAAAATCTACCAACGAAAAAAATAACTTTTGGTTTGAATATTGATATATTTTTGTTTATCTCCTGATAGCGACATTGCAAGAATTAAAGTGATGCTGGTTATACATTATTTGCCTTCTACTTTAAAATATTATCACCAAAAAACTCTATTCTTTGCTGGTTTTTGAGATAATGATGGTGGATCTTTTTCCTCGCGGACCTTTAAACCCCGCTCTACTTTATTAGTACCTTAATGTAATATACGACATTCAAAAAACTGTCTATTTAATTTTAATATATTTCAAATTGTTTACAGGAAATTCTGCTAACATCCCAGTGCCTTATTTATACATCGTATTAATCTTCTGCATTTTTTCGCGCTTTTTAAATCATCCACATTCTGCGACTACGTAGTAAAATAATAAGTTTTATAAGTAACTATATTGTAAATTATATATATTATGTTATTTTTGTATATTTACTTGGAAAATATTATAATAATTGCATAAAAGCTTATAAAATAAGTGTGCAAAATAAATATTAGCGAATAAAATGTTACGGGATGTCATGCATATCGATTGAGATTATAATAAGGTATATTTTGAAGTAATTTAATGTTAAATTATAAAAATAGTTTTCTATAAATTGCGCAGCATTAATTTATTAATTTGTAAAGCAGCAATGAATTGATAAACGGTAATTCAAGTACCTAAAAATTATAATGCAATAATTATAATTTTTACAAGATTATAGTTCTAAAATTAAAAACTTACAGGAAAGCAAAATCAAAATTTGGTTAGAGAGCGTCCATTAATCACGTAAGATTTTTTAGAGGGAGGGGGTAGGGGTTGACAAAAAATCACAAAATATATTGCGGGGGAAGGAGAGGTATAGTGGGATATCACGTGTATTTATTTTTTACCGGATTTTTTTTAAAAAAAACAAACATTTTCAAAAAAAAATTCAAAAATTTTACCATTTTTTCTCGTAACTAAAAATACACGCGAAGTTTGGTAGGGGATGAATGGGGGTCATTTTGGAAATTACCACGAATCACCAGGGGATCCGTGGGGGAGGAGGGTCCAAAAATCCTCAAAAAGCCTATCACATGATTAATGGACGCCACCTTAATTTAATTAGCCTTGTATTGTGCTGGTGTCTGTTTATAAGTTTGAAAAAAGAGTATGGTTTTTACTATTTTTTTTTTAACATTATTATGTAATAATTTTAGTCCTTATTTTCACGTTTCAGCCATGACTTACTTATCATTTTTTATATATTCGGTATCGAAGAATGGTTATCTCATTCACCAATTATATAAATAAATTGTTACACACTTCAATCACTCATCTTAAATAGATAATAATAATCATTTTGCTCTTGTTTTTACTCCAAATTACACAAACAATCAAATGAAATCTTTAAGTAGATCTTATGAAGCCAGCTCAAACCACACTCAAACAATCAAAAGGAAAATAAACAAAATTTAAAACATGACAACATAAATTAATTATCTTTTGATTATTGATAGTCACTTTCGTTTCTTTCTTTGAAATGCAAGATTTTTTTGAAATCTAATAACTGTTTGTTATTTACATCATACTATATTATTATTTTTTATTTTATTTACGAACTGATGATTATTATTTTATGATTATTATTTTTTTTATCAATTTTTTGAGAATTTTTTAAGAGTGGACTTATATGATTTTTATGTTCACAAGTAAGCGTTTAATTGATATTATTTTGCAACTATAAAATTTTTCCAGAATAATTCTCCCTGACACCATTAGTAGAAAAATATCTTATGGTCATTCTCAAAACTTAGATGTAATATATAATATATAATTTCGATTTATATTATGATTTACTCTAAATATTGTTATTTATTCTCGGCATTCTAGACATATATTTTTTTCTGAATTATTAACCCAGTCATTTGGTGCAAAAAAAGCTGTTACCTTAAGAGTTTTTCGGAAAATTAGTGATTTTATAGGTTTTGATGTGATCTTAATGAATTTTAACTTTGTAATCTCGAATTTTTGCCGCTGCCGCCGCCATATTTGAACAATTGCGTCAAAAATCAGTTTTTGAACGATATCTCCTTTCCGACTCATGTTACAATAAAATAACTATATACAAAAATAAAATTAGATTAAAATTTCTATAATTTATTCAATTTTTTCTGTAACGCCATCGGCAGCGGCAAAAATTTGAAGTCTCAAAGTTGATATTCGTAAAGATCACATCAAAATTTATAAAATCACCAATTTTCAAAACTTCCGGAAGACTCTTAAGGTAAAACAACTAAATGACTGAAGTATATTGACTTTATTTAAATTTTGAGTAAATGGAAAACATTTTTTTAAAAGCTATCTTTTATCTGCTGAATTTATTTTGAATAAATATTGATTTGCATTTATATTAAAAATCAAGTAATTAAAAACTTCAATGTTTTCGCAAAAAAATCTGCAAATTACCTAAACAATATCATAGACGAATCTCTTTCAAAAATTTGCTGTTAATTTAAAATGCAGTTTCGATTTTTGCTCGAATATATAAAAAAAATTAAGCTTTTGTTCTGCGCAATCTTGTATAAAACTGTTTTAAAAAAACTTAATTAATTGTTGAATATATACGTTTTATTTTTATATTTATGAAATTTGTTGATCGAGTAAATATTTATAAAATTATAGTTATATGTTAAAAATTTAAATAATTAGATTTAAAAGTTGCGTTTAATTATATTCAATAAAAAAAATTAAATACTATCAATCACATGTACATATTTCTATAGAATGTATCATATAGTATTGTTTTAATTTAATTTAATTATATTAAATAATAATTACTATGCGGGAATAGATAGAGCATTAATATTTTGCATTAGCTTTTACTATTTTTTTTTAGAAACATTCTTTTTAATTAAATATTTATTTATGCGTCGTTTTTCATACAATTTTTTTTTTGCAACAGAGACACTTAATTTATTTTTTTGTTATTTGATGAAATAAATAATTATAATTTTCTGCAAAAATCGGGCTCTTAATTTATTCATTTTTATTTTAACTAGGTCTAATAAAAAATTATAAAATTATCAAATTTTTTATAATGATAATGTGTAATGTAAGTTGTTGATATAAATCTATTTTGCGTTGATATAAATCTAAAACAAGTTTCTAACTATCATATAATAATCAAAAATAATTTATATTTCTATAATTTTACGAAAGCTTTATACAAATTGTTAATTGCTATATAAAATTTTAGCTTTCCAATTAACTTGATAACTAATGTATAGAAAATATCTGACTGGTTTCCATAATCTTTTGCAAAAATATGTACATACACATAATGATCAGATTTGAAAATATAAAACTTGAAATTATATCAAATTTCTTTGATTCATAAATTTATTTTGGTTTAATTAAATTGCAGGGGAATGGATAATTTAGACACAAGGTGAGTGTTAGATAAAATAATGATTTTATTTCTTTTTTGTATAAACTTTTGCTACATGTGTTGAAAAAAAATCTAATTGTTCAACTTTATATAAAAAGAAGTAAAATTATTATTATTATATAAAGTTTAGATTAGATGTGTAATATGTTCATAATGTCAGTTGATATTTCTAATTTTTTGACGAAAATTCAACTTGCAAATTTGATTTATATTTTAACCTTGAAGTTCCAAGTTATTCTGAATCGTTTAGCAGCAAAATTGGAAGCAATATGCGTGTGTGTTTCGAAAATGTTTAGTTTTGCCAGAAAATTCAACTTGCAAATTTTATTTATATTTCAACCTTGAAGTTCCGAGTCATTCTGAATCGTTTAGCAGCAAAATTGGAAGCAATATGTGTGTGTGTTACGAAAAAGTTTAGTTTTGCCAGAAAATTCAACTTGCAAATTTTATTTATATTTCAACCTTGAAGTTCCGAGTCATTCTGAATCGTTTAGCAGCAAAATTGGAAGCAATATGCGTGTGTGTTTCGAAAATGTTTAGTTTTGCCAGAAAATTCAACTTGCAAATTTTATTTATATTTCAACCTTGAAGTTCCGAGTCATTCTGAATCGTTTAGCAGCAAAATGGAAGCAATATGTGTGTGTTAAAAAATTCATCCACGTTTTCGTAAAAATTCTAATTCAAATTTTAAAATTCAAAAAATTTTATGTTTTATGTTATGTTTTCATTATAAAAAATTATCAATTTTTGACAATATAAATTGTTGCCAAATCTCAATTCTTATTGACAAATATTAAATCTATTATTTAAACATATCGAGAAGTTTTTGCAACTTGCCCTGAAGCAAAATGCCACTTAAAACTAGACTTTTTTGGATTCAGAAAACAAATACAAGTTAATAAAAAAAATCTAGAATTAATCAATTAACTATACATATATAAATATATAGCAGATAACTTTTGTATCATATTATTTTCATTATCTCTTGATGATTGATGAAATGAAATGATTGTTTGCGATAACAATATAACAAATGTAAAAGGGCTTTCTATATAAAACTAAAGTAGTACAATGGAACTCTTATAAAACTCTACAGATGTTCTATTGTTTTATTATCGAAGATTATTTTATTCGTTTATATTATATTATATAAACACGAATTTTGAATGAAGATAGTAGAGACCATGTAAACAAAATCGTCTTGGAAATATATAAACAATTAATAAGTCTATATTCTTTACGACATATACTTCAACTAGATGACAATATAAAAATAAACACATGAGCGACCTCTCGAAAATTGAAGATGTTAATTTCGGGAATTCTTGATAAGTGTGATGAAAAATTGAAATAAATACAGTGGGGTCCCAGAGAAAAGGAAAAATATATGAATTCTATTTTATTTTGCAGAAAATAGTTTTATAAAATATATAGAGAAGTGTCCCAAAAAAATGAAATACAGCAAACAAAATTAAGCACTAAATTAGATTTTTTTGTAGTGATGAGATTAAGGTTTTGATAGGGTTTATGTAACTTTGTCTTTAATGAAAAAAGTTTTAAAAATAAGAGAGATAATTAAAAAATAATTTCATGTTAAATTTACAAATTCCAATTTTCAAAATCTCTGACAATGGTCTACAGTTTTTCTACAGTTTTATTTTTATTTACATAAAAAACTGAAGTAGATCCAATTCATTTATATTGAAAATCTCGAACAATATCGAGACATATTTTTTTAATTTAGATTACAAAATCATAGTATACTTTATCGAGTTTTCTGAAATAGAGTAAACTATAAACAATATCAAAAGTTACATTAAAATTATACAGAGAAATGATTTAGATTTTATAGAGTTTTCCGAATACCAAATATTGCTCCATATTTTGAATTGCTATAATTTGAAACAAAATTCGCATTTGTTTATAAACTAAAATTTGTTACGTTATATTTTTAAAGGCGAAATTGAAAAATGTACTAAAAATTTATAAAATTGCATGGAGTTCCCATATGTTTTAAAGGGTAAAGGTCCATTCTTTAACAGAAAAACATCTCACTTATTGTAAGTTAAAGGACATGTTAAGTCAATTATCTGTCAAACCTAAAAATATTGTGCTTTGTTGTTACAACAACCTTCACTTTGAGGTTTGAACAATAAAAAAGGGATATTTTTAACCCATCATGCCATAGGATGATGTCCATTGGATTTTTTGTTAAAATTTCATACTTAAATTACTGCTTACCAATTTGATGGATTTTGAAAATTTGCTTGGTTAAATATATTCAAAATAATTGTAAATAATTTTTCTTAAAATAATGCTATTAATTATTCATAATTGTTTGAATAAATATTATGAAAAACAAGAATCTAACAATTTTAAATTTAAATTTAAATGCATCATTCTAATGGTATGATAAAATAGTTTTAGTTAAAATGTTAAATGGTAGGTAGAACTAGTCAAAATGGTATGATAAAATAGTAATTAGTATTATAAAAATTAACAACTTAAATTAAATTACTATTTTATCAAAAATAAAATTAATTTATATTTTAGGAATTTTATGAATTTAAATCTCTGAACAAGTTGAAATAATTACCCACAATTAAAACTAAATAATTTAGTAAAAAAAAATTAAATAAAATTAGAAAAATATAAATTGCCTTATAAGATTTAAATTTTATGTAACTAAATTACCAACTTCAAAGAAATTAAATTACTATTTTATCAATTACAACATACTAATAAGTATTATAAAAATTAGCAACTTAAATTAAATTACTATTTTATTAAAAATAAAAATATTTTATATTTTAGGAATTTCATAAATTTAAATCTCTAGGAAAAGTTGAAATTATTACCCGTTATTGAAGCTAAATAGTTTAGTAAAAAAAATTAAATAAAATTATAGAAGTATTAAATACCTTACAAGATTTTAAAGTTATTAAATTATATTACCAACTTCAAGTAAATTTAATAAATATTTTATCAATTATAAAATTTCTCTATATTGGAAAATGTGCAAATGTTACACAATTTAAAATAATTATACGTTATTAACGTAAATTGATTATATTAAATTATATATTAAATTATAATTATTATTATTAAGATTTCATTATATTTATTATACGTTATTAAATTAAATTGAAATAAATAATTTTATAAAAATTTGAATTACCATACGATATTTAAATTTTATTTAACTATATACCAACTTCAAATGAATTAAATTACTATATTATCAATAATGAAATTGCTTGATATTTTAGAAATTTCACAAACTTTAATTTAATAATAAAATGAATAAAACAAAAATTAAAACAAATAAAATTTAAATATAAATTAGTTTAAAATAAAATAAAATTTTATTCAATTTAATTTAATAATTAAATAAAAATCAAAATAATATTTAAAGAAATGTAATATTTATATTATTACTTTTGTTTAATTTATATTTTTATTTTTACTTCACTTTATAATTTTTCTTTAGTTTTTTAATTATTATTATTTATTATGTATATTGTTTACTTTATTTGATTGTTCTTTTTATTACCTAAGCAAGCAGTTTTGTATTATAAGACTTTTTTTAATCTTGATTGACAAAAGAATAAAGGTAGTAAAAAATATATATATTATTACAATAATATAAATTTTATTTATTTATACTACAACCCTCAAAAGAATTAAATAAGAAATTTATCCACATAAACGTTACTTTATATACTGGGGAATTTTTCAACCTTTTTTTTGGTTCAAGTTTTTTATTGTACTTACATTGTAAGTACTATTATCTGCAAACACTTGCATTTTATTTCCAGAAATTCCATACAATATAATGCAAATATTAATAGAATTACAATTTTATCACCCTCTTATTGTTCGATTTTAGGAATAATCTTTTATTTGGACATCAATACTATGCCTAATACAAAGGCTGATGTAATAAGCACTACGTTGTATGTCGGTATAAAGGATTTTATTGCTTTGCAATGCGAAATGTACCGACTCTGGTTTGATCCTAGAGACCAGCGATTTTCGGTGGAGAGCTGGTGAAAAGATCGCTAATAATATGATAGGTTGATCGTTTTATAATATATATAATGGGATAGTTGAATAAAACAATTTCTTTTGAATAAATAAAAAAATTAAACAGAATTAATTTAACGCAAAGGAATTCTATCTATTATGTATAGATTTTATTTATTTTTATGTTTCCGAAGAAAAAAATTATGTTTTTGCCTGAAAAAAACAACAATTTACAAAAATCTTTTATTTATTTGGAATATTTCAAAGCCGTTTGAAAGTTTCTCGTAAAGATCATTCTAGCCGTTTTGTTGATAATGATTTATTATAAATATTTTTTTTGGCAATTTTGATAAAACTTTTTCTCATAGTGTCAATAATTTTATCCTACATCCTAAAATTATATAAACCTAGAAAAATCGGTTACAGAAAAACTTCTTATTTAAACATCTCGGGAAACTACACCTATTTTTTTTATTTTATTAATTAGGTGTAGTTTTCCAAAATGTTTAAATAAAAAGTTTTTTTGTAACCAATCTTCCAAAATATTTTTTCTAAAGTATGCGAACATGTTCAGAAACCGCTGAAACGTAAAGATATAAATTTAAAGATACTAATTTTGTACCAACTTTCTCTGAAACTAACATATATTTTCTAGTATTTTAAATATAATATCAAGCATATTAAACAATTAATATATAAAAATCTAGTAATATTTTGAATGCAAAATAAAAACTGTATATACTTTTACAGTTTTCCGCACTAAAATTGCTTATAAGGAATACTGCATAATTTACTGAAGATAATAGTAGAGTAAATACTAATTAATTAATAACATCACAGCAATTTAAGTGTTTCAGAAAGTTTTAGTGCAGAAAATTGTAAAAGTATAGATTTTTTGTATTTTTTCATTTAAAATAAATTAAGTGCCAAGATTATTCTAAATTTTCAATTAAAACTATAGATTTACTTACTAGACTTTTACTTATTAATTGTTTAATCTGCTTGATATTATATTTAAAACACTAAAAAATATATATTAAGTTCGGAGAAAGTTGGTACAAAATTAATATGTTTAAATTTATATCTTTACGGTTTCTGAACATTTTTGTATACTTTAGAAACAATACATGTAAGTGTGTGTGTATGTATGTATGTATGTGCGGACACAATTTTTTGTCGACCATTTCGAGAACAATGAGCAACCGATTAAATGATTAAAAAAATATTCGATTCCTATTGATAAGCAGTCGCACTGATTAGTTTTTGGCGAAGGCAGGTCTAGCCGTTCCGAAGATATGGGGTAAAAAGTGCCAAAACGGTAACTCAGTTTTTAAAAGAACGGAGCGTTTGACTTAAATAATTAAAAAAACACTTTACTTGTATTAACAAGATGAACAACTGATTGAATTTTCATGAAGGCAGATCTAGCGGTTTTGGAGATCCAATTGAAAAAGTAAAAAATAATGTCATTTGGCGATCACAAATGATCATTAGACATATGCACATCAAATTATCAGATGTTTTATAGAGATTTTAATAATAAGTATGAATTTTGTTTATATTCCTATGGGTTTTGTACCAATGTTTATCCGTTAGACGGCGACGCGGCGCTCACGCGCTTAGATATTTCGTGTCTATGCAGTTAAAGCAGTACGATTGCTTTGAGAAAAAGTTCAGAATTTCCAAAATATTTTAAAATACAGTTTTCTTCAAAAAGTCCTTTTTTCAAAAAAAGTAAATTTTTGTCAAAAATTTATAGTTTCTCAAAAATCTAATTTTTTCAAAGTAAAATTCTTTCAAAAATGTTAATTTTTTTTGAAAAAAATAATTTTTGGTACGGGAAGTACTAGCAATTTGCCTTAAGGCACGATGCCATGCGCCCCACTAGTTTTTTTTATATTAACTTTAACAATATCTAGTAGTGCTAAATCTACTACTATTAATTTTTTCCCAGCGCTCTTTCTATTTTTCAGTGCTCTGTCAAAGCTTTTGCCGCCTTCGACGGTTGGAAACGGCGGGGCTTTCAAAATGATCCTCGAGGATTTTTGTCAATTGGGATCCACTTTGTTTGCTCATTTCAATCTGAATTTTTGTCGAGTGCAGTTGTGCCTTGAGTGTTATAAAAATGGATTTTAATTTACTTAATAATAATAAGCCAAAAATTAATATGGCGTGCTATTATCCTTATTGTCCTTCGTTGCAAGAAGAATTTGTGAGATTATTTGCACATGAGAGGAATGTTCAAGTTGTTGCGGAACCTATAGGTGAGTTTTTAATTTTATTTATTTTTTAACTTTATGAATTATTTAACTTTATTTATTTTTTTAAACTCATACAATCTTATAAAAATGAATATGATAAGATTGTATCTAGAAGTGTTGTATATAAAATTGTAATATTGCGGCAATTGGTACAATTTTATTACACCTAATATATTACTGAAAATGTATGTGTGCGTGCCGAAATTTTAGCAAAAGGATTTTTTATAATTAAGTTAATTTATCAATATTTGAGAAATTGTTTTCTAAACAATTTTGTTTAGGATTATTTGCAAAATATATAAAATTTTAAAATTGCCGCAATCAGTTCAATTTTATTACACCTAAATATATTACTGAAAATTAATGAATGAATTTATTAATTAATTAATTACTGAGAATGTGTGTGTGTTGAAATTTTAGCAATATGATTTTTAATTTAAGACTTAATTTTAACTTAAGACTTATTTCACTAAATAAATTAAATTACTATTTTGTCAATAATGGAATTACTTCATATTTTAGAAATTTTACAAACTTGAATGTCTAGAGCAAGTCAAATTAAACCTAAATAGTTTATTAACTATATTGCAAAAATATTATGAATTGCCTTAATTTTTTAGGATTATTTTGCAAATAATACTAAGCCATATAAAATTGTAAAAATGCAGCAATTAGTTCAATTTTATTACACTTAAAAATATTAGTGAAAATTAACAAATAATTGAATAATTTAATTACTAAAAATGTGTGTATGTGTTGAAGTTTTTGCAATAGGATAGGATGATTAAATTATTTTATCAATATTTAAGACATTGTTTTCTAAATAATTAGTTCTCAAATATATGGTTTATCAATTATTTTAAATTATGTGTGTCAATCAAATAAAGTTGCGTTATATTAAAATGTAATGATTTAGCTAGAAAATATGGTAATAATGCCTACATTTTTTTAAAATAATAAGTGAAATTAATTATACTTTTCAATAACATATATACTTCTTAATAAGAATAAAACTACCAGCAGTAATTATCAAAATTTATTTGTTGTTATTTATAGTTTTTTTTTATTGCTAGTTAAATTTTTCAGAAATGATTTATGTTTTTTTGAATATGTTAGTTGTGAATGATACAATATAATAACAAAAAATAAAAAATAACAGAAATTAATCATAAGAATATCACATGAATTTTATGGTTGTATGGTTTAAAATTTTCCAAATTAAATCAAGTGTATAGTGATAGTTGTGATAATTCAAAGTTCTGATAAAAGATAAGACTACTAAAAGCAATTAATCCAAAAAAATATATTAGTTGTAATATTCAGTTAATATTTTTAAAAATGAATATATTTTCAACGAGTGAATTGGTTATGAATGATTTGAAATTTAAATAAAAATTTTAAACTGCTATAAACAATTAATCAAAAAAGTTGATATTTTCCAAATTAAATATATTTTCAATGAGAAAGTGAGTTGTGATGATACAAAATCCTAAAAAAATTATTTATCAAATGCATTCAATTAACAAAAATATTTGTTGAAATTTTAAATTTTATTAGTTAAAATTTTCCAAATCAATCTAATTAGTAAGTAAAGATTAATTAAAAATTCTCATAAAAACTGAAACTATCAAAAGCAGCTAAACAAAAAAATTATTAGTGGTAATTTTCCGTTTTTTTAATTAAATATCTCAAAAATAAATACATCTTTTATTTATATTTTATAGTTTTGAATAATTCAAATATTTTCATAAAAAATAATTAATCATTAATAAATAGTTAGTTGAATTTTTCAGTTGATTTTTTTTAGTTAATTTTACTGAAAATTAAAATCAAAATTTGTGTATATGTATGAACCATATATTTATAATTAGTATTGCTAATTTTTCAATAATGCCACTTATGCAATTATTAGAAAAGAAGTAGATATTGCGAAAAAGGCACAAAAAAATTAATTGAAACAATTTAAAAAAAATTGTTGAAAAAAAGTTGCCGAAATACATGTAGTTAGTTCAATAATATTTATAATTCAATTTTTTTAACAAAACTTATTATTATTAGGTATTTATCTGATTTTTTTGGGAAGTAGCACATTTTGAAGTCATGGTAAACGTTCTTAGATTATGATAATAATTTTACATGTTGTTTTAAATCTTATTATTATTGTTACTTATACATATATATTTCAAATTCTTGCGCCAAATATCCCATATTAAAGTAGTTTATAAAGAAACAATAGTTAAAATATTTACAGATTATCAGAAAAGAAGATTTAACCTAATTTTTTAACATTACTTGTGATTAGATATGTAATCTTCTAATAAATTTACGGAAATATTTTTAAATAAATCATCTCCTCAGGATAATTTTGTTAATATTAAGAAAATCAATTTGCTCTAAAAAATATCTATTCAGTAATTAATTTCTGGTTCATTTTTTCAACTATAGACGAAACAGATCTTTTCATTCATCGTCCTACCAGAAATGAGGAATTAGAGAAAATTTGGGAAGATTTTAGAAATAACGGTCAGGATATGGAATATTGTCCTGATGAAGAGAAAACTGACATATTGTTGGAAACTCTGAAAGAGAAAAATAATAATGTGGTATTTAGTAATATTTTTACTATTGGACGCCCGAAGAAAAGGAAGCAAAAACCAACCAAGGTTGATAAGGTAATTTTTACTTTCAATATTACTGAATTGCAAGTTGGATCTGTATTGCAAAACTCTTATTTAATTACTACATTTTTTGTAAATGGTTAATTTTTTTTTTTTTTTTTTTTAGATTTGCGTGTTTTGTAAAAACAACGGCTGCCATGAGTCTGTATATAACAGTCATGTTTTAAAAGATCGAAATGGTAATGTGACTTGTCCATTTCTTCGTGAATATGAATGTCCTATATGCCATGCATCAGGTAACAATGCTCATACTATAAGATTTTGTCCTAGCAAGAAAATCCAAGTAACTTTGGAATCTTCGGATTCAGACATTGATACAATTTCGACAAAAAGTTAGTTACTATGACCTGTTTTTTTTTCAATTTTTTTATTTATATTTTATACCATATGTGTTAATGTTAATTTATTGATGTGAGGAACTGAAATTGATTTTATTCGAAAAAACTCTAAAAATCGGTAAATCGACCTAAGTTGTATCAAAACGTTTGCTTTAGATCATATTACCACTAAACAAACTAAACCAAGTAAACCAATTTCAAATCCATGCCTAATAGTGTTTGAACCAATTCTAATTTTTTTTATTCGAAGTTTTGTTAAAATCCATTTTAAATTGCGCTTATACTCGTCAAAATCGTGTTTAGATCCATAGATCCATTCCAAATACATTTCCAAATTCCAATTCCAAATCTTGTTTTAAATCCAATCCTATTTAATTTCTTTATAAATAGTCTTTAAACCACTCCAAATCATGTTTAAACCTATTTCAATTTGTGTCAAATTCAAATATTGTTTATAAATCCATTCCAATGAGTATACTATGGATTATATTATCATTATATTGGATTTGTAATCTATCAAAAATCCATTCCAATAAGTTTCCTATTTCAAATTATCTTCTAACTCATTCCTGAATTTTTAATTTATAAACAATACTTAAAATCAGTAGTTTTTTTAATCACATTTAAAAATTATTTAAATTTGGATAGATAAATATCCATTCTAATAAGTTTGTCATTCTAAATAATCTTCTAGCACATTTTTGGATTTTTAATCTATCAAAATACTTAATATCTAGAGTCATTTTAAACCGTATTAGAAATGAGCTAGAAGATAATTTGGAATGGTAATCATTATTTAAATTTTTGAAAAATTAATCATGAATGAGAGTTAGAAGATAATTTGGAATATAATATATTATCCATTCCAACAAGTTAGGAGGCAATGTTCTTCATTCAAATTATCTTCTAACTCATTCCTAGAGTTAGAAGATATTCATTCTTTTAGAAGAACATTCCTATCAAAATTACTTACTCATTCCTAGAGTTTTAATCAATCAAAATTACAAAAAAATTTTTAAAAATCGATCACGTGATTTATGACGCCCCTATTGGCAGATTTCAAAAATTCATAATTATGATAATATCATTCCTGCAGTATTCTTTGGTAAACTAAACAAATTTGTAATTATAGTATTTAATATATTTATATTATTTTTTAATATCTGCGTCTATTCCTCTGAAACCTGTACCTACTTATATGGAAAATCAGCAAATTGTTGGTAGTACTACAATTATTAGAGCGTCTAAATTGAATGCCAATCCAGTGATTGTTGCCTGGGTATGATTTAATAAAAATTATCATTCTGTTTTACGCAATTATTTAAATATATGTTTAATGACATATTTTATTCATTCGTATCGAAAAATTTCCATATTTTCTCAAGCAGTATCAAAATGTTCGAGTCGCCTTAATCCTCTCATATAGAGTCAACTTGCCGCCCGAACAAGCCGAGCCAACAAAGCAAACCGCGCCGGTCGTTTCAGATAGAGTTCAAATCGGCTTTGAATACTTTTTGACCTTCATACTATTTTATCCTTCATCAATAGTTAACCGAATATTTAAAACAACAGTTCAATTTTATATTAGAAATTTCATAAGGTGACTTATTCTTAAATGAATAAATTTTTTAAATTGGAATTGTAAATCAACTTAGTACAGAACTTTTATATTTTTCTTAACTACGCGATTTTTCATGATATGTTAACTACGATTATTTAAATATATTTTTCAAATAAAATTTTTACATAGCTAATACTCCTTTTAAGACAGTGGTTTCCAATTCCAATATTTTCGTAACGCCCTTTCCCCATTTGTATAAAATAAATTCTTGTGCTCCCTTAAATGTTATTATTGATAAACACTTGACTGATATAATATTTTATTTATCAGGCTCTAAATTAACATAAAATAATATGTAGGAATTTACTTAAAAATAATTGTTTATTCATTCATTTTTTATATCATTCAATTTTTTTTATTTATTCTGGAAAATAGTATTTTGTGAACAACGATAAGTCTCCCTTGTAACTGCCTTGCGCTCCTCCCCAGGGGGTGCGTCCCACAGATTGGAAACCATGGACTTAAGGATCTAATAAAACCCCTTTTTAAATAAATCTCATTTTTATTCGAACTTTTTATATATTTTTGAACAGTGTTTTTTCGTTAAATCTTTTTTTTTTTTTTATTTATTTATTATTTAACAGACGCTCATGACAATAACATAAGTATACAAATTATTAACTAAAAATAAAAAATTATTAAAAAAATCGTTTTAATAAAATTAATAAAACAGAGTTTTTTACTATCATGTACATCTCTTAAATTATATACTCAACATTTAATAAAAACTATTGTTTAACTGTAAATCATTGTATAAAATTCTGCACAATTCCTTCATAAATTCAGTTATTAATGTTCATTTCAAGTGGCGTATTTTAAAATTTGTTAAAATTGTAATATATGTAATTTAAAATAAGAACCTTGCAAAAATCTTTTCTGCACAAAAAATATGTATTTTCGATAAATGTTGTTCCTAACAAAATCTGGGACACAAATTGGAAATCCAGGACGATCAATCCGGGTCGTATGGGGTCACCTTAAATTCCAGTATTTTTCTGAACTTTTAATAACTTATTAAAAATCCATTCATAGACCTATTCTCGAATATGCTTGATCTGTTAATTTACTACACATTCACAAAGGAACCAGAACACAATATCAATTCTTAACATTTAGGAAAAGTCGTTTGGCAATTTTGAGCACCTACTTATATGTCGATTAGTTCATTTATGTTTTAAGATACTACATATTTGAAAATCGTAGTAAATTCTTTTAACTTTTATAAGCAAGTAGTAAAATAATAGAAGAAAATATTCCAAAATAGGCCTATAAGTGTGATTTTTCTATTGACTTGTTTCCAAACCGTCCACGGTCCTTCCTAAATCCTAATCAAATTTGTTCAAACTGAAGATAACTAGTTCAAAAATTGAAGAAATATTTTAAAAAAATATTTTTGGCGTTACTTCCATTTTTAGGTTTAATGTAACATTTATAAGTAGAAAAGTATTATTAAAAGCAAAGTAAACCGCACTACCTCATTTACCAGCTAAAGTGGTTGGATTTGGTCTCATTATATATGTTTAAGCTGACCCGGTTTTAATAATTAAATCAGTTCCTCACATCATTAAAATAATCATACTATAAACAATTAAAAAACAACACAACGAAAACCAAAGATTTATAAAGAACATGATTTATTTAATACTTTATTCATCCTTTACTTTGAGAATTATCACCTAACCTAATTAGTTTGTTTAACATTTTAAATAATGCCAAAGAAAAAAAAATTAATACCGGAATATATAAATGTTATTTATAGATTATATTATAATAAGATTTTTCTAAAATGTTTTTTAAAAAATTGTTTATAAATTGTATATATCTTATACTACTATCTTAAATTTTCGATTTTTTTATTCAATTATGACTGTATATTTTTTTATTTTCAAATCTTTTTAAACAAGTAATTCATTCAATTTTTGATCAGTATTATTATATATTTAAATATTATTATATGTTGCCAATGAAGTATTTTTTCTATTTTTAAGATCAATAATGTAGCGATTTAATTTAATACTCAGGATATTGCATATCCATAGAGTAAAATATTTATTATGAAATGGCTAAGATTTTTTTTCCTCATTTTTGAATGAATTAATTATGTAATTATTCGCATTATTTTTAGCATTTAAATTCGGAAACAAATGTACTATATATTAATAAGCTTTATATTTTGTTCATAGTTTTAAGTTATTGTTATATATAAGGACAACATTGATATTTGTGCCTTACCATTAGATATAGGAATATAAAAATATTACCTCTAACAGGTACTTCACCTACAGTTATTTTTATACCAAAAATTATATTAGTGCCTAAAATAAATGTAAGTTAATTGATTGATCTAATTGATCATGAGACTAGCCACAAAATTTAATTAAATGCTTCTAAATATAGGCTTCAATAAATATATACTCTTACAGATTATTTTTTCAAAAATTATCAAATGAATGTGGCTATGCTCATGATATGGTACCAAATATTATATTTAAATTGGTTTGAAATCATATGAATTAAAATTATATATCATAGTTTGTAAGTATTACTTCGTATTTAAGTATCAGGTTACAGGGATTGTTATTTATATAAACGAAATATATGTATATATGTTGTATATAATTATGCTATTTTTTCTTACTATTCATTTTACTATTTCAGATACTCACAAAATATTAAGAGTAACAAAAATTTGCAAGAGTGATTGATTGATTTATTGTTTTTTGATTTCACAGTTTGGTTTTGAAAATTGTTCATATTTAACTTATATATTTAATACACTATGCAAGGGGGTGTAAATATTGACAACTAGAATATAATATTGTATTATATATTTCTGAAATTATATGATTTTAATTTCCAAATTAAAATTTGTTCGCAGCTCAATAGAATATTATGACTTTTCACCAAAGAATTTTCCACAATAGTTTTATAAAAAAAATCGAAGATTTTTAAATAAATAGTTTTATACAGTTAAATAAAATTGTCCTTATGGTTTTATTCTTTTTATTTTAAAAAAGTATATTTTAATATACTTATGGAAATTAAGATATCAATTTAATGCCAACGATATTCCATAATTAGGGAGAAAAAATACAAAATATTGAGGTGATATATGCTAGATTTTAAATCGATAATTAAAATACTTTTTTCTAATAAAATTGATTACCTGATAGTATATAATTTTATTTTTTTTAAAAATAGTTATGTTTTATAATGGATCAATATATAGTTCTTCAATAATAATTAATTCAGGAGAAAGAATTTTAAATAAATGATATTTTTAACTTTCCGTAAATCAAGTTATAGAAATCGCAAAAAAATCTAAAATGAAATTTTGTATATATCTTTACGTTTCAAAACCTTCTGAACATTTTGGCA